GAGCTAAGGGTTCGGACGAAGCCAACCAAGATGAAGGCTCTCCCCATGGACCAACGTTTCGGCATGTCTACAGCCGTCTCTTTGGGCCAACGTACGCCGGAGAATACGTTCCTCCAGAATCCGGCCATTTAGACGGCACCTATGTTCTCTCGTATCCGGGGCTGGCATTTACCTTTCCTGTGAAACATAAATCCTGGTCTGAAAAAGTTGATTTTGTGTCAATTTTGTCGTCCAACGCAACCGGGCCCGCCAAGTCGATGGCCATCTTCCTAGGATCTTCGTGGACAGAAGCCAGATCAAATTTGTATACGAGACCGCCAACGTATCCTCGATCACCGACGCTGGTTGGCAAGTCGGTTGACACGATTCCCGATGAGATCGAGGAGGTCAGACTGTTCGGAGGAGGAAGGCTAGAATTGGTACGGAGGGCGTCCCCGCCTATGGCAGTCACATTGGGGGAGACGACGCCTCAAGATCTCGTGGCAGAGCTGGGGCCGCCTGATGCCATATATCGTAAGAATGACAGGCACATTTCCATTCACGCTACGGGCAACCCGGCGAATCGACGGCGGCCTAGCATGTCTCCAGGACTCGATCCTCAGGCACTGGATACGGACCAGTCTTCGATCCAAAGCTATACCGAAGAATCAGACTTCGAACACGAGCTTGAGGACGATAGGGCTGATTCGTCGAGTGACGAATGTTTCTACAACTACTTTAAGCATGGATTTGACATTCTGATATCGTCTCCGGCTACAAGATCCCCACCTTTCCCCGATTCAACGATCAGCGAGAGCTCTTGCTCATCCAGTGTGCAACTGGTCGCCACGAAGATGTTCTTACACGGCAACGTACCCGGCTCGTTCGCGTTTAATCGTCATCGAAGAAGTCGGTGGGTGATACGAACGCGTGGGGAGAACCGAGGGCCGGTGCTGACTTCAGAGATGCCCTTCTCGGAGATATCTCGTGCGTTGAAGGAGGTATGGCACGAGACATACAAGGACGAGAACGAGGAGAAACAAATGCAGCGGGCCATGGTGCTCAACAGGGGATGGGGCGAGAGCCCAGAGAGTTCGATAGAGCTGCTGGGGGATCTAGAGGAGAGCCCGACTCGAGAGAAGGTCGATGACCACGGAGCAGCAAATGCCGGTGGAGTGATGGGCAACACGGAGTTGTTTGGGTTTCCGGGCATGTTGTTTGAAGTGCTGAAGAACGATACAGTGAGTTGTGTGACGGTGTTCTAGATAGAATGTATACCGAGGACCCAGAGAGAGATCAGGCTGACTGAGTGACTCCCTGGCTCTCACCGGCTCCCCACCACTTACTTATTAGCTGGTTAGTCCACCTCGTGCGGAGTCCATGACCAGGGATGATTCGCCCACCCGCAGTTTGATCGGTGCTTGATTCTGCTCAGTGTCCCGCTTCCCGCCTCCAACCTCCGATCCTGTTGCTTTTGATTCCTTCCCGCCCACCGCACAACAACAACTTGACTTACCCTTAAAGCGCAGCTGGACTCTTCTTTCACTTCGCCAGCCTGCACTGTAGATGCGTTTTCCCATGAACACCGCCGGCAGCCGCAGCACGGCATCACTCCATTCCTAGCGAAGATGCGCACCTATCCTTACTGCTTGCTCTCCGCCACAGACAAAGCCGGTACGGAGGTCTTCCTGCGCCTTGAACGACCCTACCTTGCCCTACCCTCACCTCTCTGCCCTACCCTCTTTGTGGCCTTGCATGTCGCTAATATTGACGGGAAAATGCAGTTGTAGCGTCCTGCTACCGCTCCTTCCAAAGTCTGCGCAGATGAATCTTTAAATCCCCCCCTATACCATCTCATCAACACCCAATCTGAAACCGATTCAAAAGCGGCAGAAGATGAAAATGTCCAAACACACTGTCATCCGTTGTCTTGTAGACGACACGGCCTTGACCAGGAACCTCGACGAGATCGAGGGCTGGGTCTCGCAAGGCCTGATTATTCTTGTGGTGCCCTTGTACAGTATGGCCGTCGCCGTCGCGATTGCTTAGTGTCCCGCTAATCTGCGCCAGCGCTTTCCCGCCTAAACGTCCTGAAGAAGGATTCTTCACAGATTGGCCTCAGTGCGCGTAAAGCAGTCAAGTTCCTCGACCGCAGCACTTCGTCTCGCGGCGATTTGCGACATGACCCAGTCATCCTACAAGGTCCCGACGACCAATACCCCACCTGGGCCGAGGTGGAGGCACACTACACAAATGAAAGTATGAAGACTGCTGGGATGAACGAAGGGGAGGTATCGATCCCCATCATGGACAACAAGCAGGAGAAGGACTCAGAAATTGCCTTCAAGGTGGGCGCCGGCGTCGCAGGCCCTTTGTCACAGGTGCTCTTGGACAAACTCAACTTTGCGAAAGAACCGGCGACCATGTCCCCCGGCTCGACACCACCTTTGTCGCCCTCTTCCTCTGGACCGCAGAGCTCTAAGACCAGCCCTGAGGTCAAGTCTGCCACCATAATTAGTCAAGATCAGACACCTGTCCCACCGTCGCTTAAGACCCTTCTTAACCCCGTCGTCTGGTATGTGCACGAGAAGAAGACTCCTGCGAACCAAAGTCTCGTCTTCCTTACCAACTCAGCCGACACCATGCACCTCGCGCGGGACTTTGATATTCCCACCAAAAATATCCACCAACTGCGAAGTGCTCTCGGCGTCGGAGAAAACGACACCCCGACGCAAGAAAACTCCAAGAAGGACAAGTCGAAAAGAGCATCCACGTCGGAGCCGAAGACGCTTTTCAGCTACGACGACGTTGAGAGTGACGAAGAGGAGGTCGTCTTCAAGCCAAGAGGTCGGGGCTCAACGCGGGGAGCACAGTCGTCGCGCAGCGCTGGCGCTGGCACTGGTACCATCCGCAGCGGTCGAGGAGGAAATGCTCGGTCTCCGCGAACTTCTTTCAGCACCCCCGCGCAGTCGGCGCAGAACAAGCCACGAATTCCCGTTGAAGAGATTGACCCCGATTCATTTGACCGTGGCAGCTTCGCGCGAGGCAGTACGCCACTCGTCAATACCAGCAACCATGTCCCACCCCAATTCAACAGTGGTCGTGGTGCGTACCGCGGCAGTTATGGCCGCGGAGGGGGACGAGGAGCAAATTTCAATCGCGGTTACAGCAATGGATTCGAACGGGGAGCGGCCCGCGGCAGGGGTCGATTGTTCGTCCCTTAGGCATGGCTGCCCCAGTTGTAGACTTTGGACGTCTGCAACCAGCACGAGCAAACCCAATTGTACCTATTGGCAGGAGCCGAAACGAACCATAGCCGCACATCTCGAGGCTTGAACCAGGCATTTGCGAACTGCGACAGACCTGTGCGGTTCGTCAGTTCGACATGGTCATGGTCATGCACAGACACAAGATCCACCAGCTGGGTCTCCAGTTTTGCAGGCGTCAGTACTTTTCCGTTCGGGCTTGGATCATTGTTCAGCATTTTCCGGTCAAGACATCTTGGTGGTTGGAAGATGGATAAGAGGTCCGAACATGAGGATTGGTGAGCGTGGCAGAGGAATGCACAGAGGAGAAGCCTTTCGTCGTCTCTTCCCTCCATGTCAGGCGGATCGGGTCCTCGTGCCTTGCCTTTGGCACCACACCACACTCATTCCGATCCGCCGATTCTCGCTTCGACATCAGCTGGGGGTCAAGAAACAGAATTGTGAAGGAGAACAGCATTGAGGTTGGCACGCTCCTTCAACGGGCCAGGGCTACAAAGCCCAAGCACGCGGGGGGTGTCGCTGCGCACGGCGGGATGTTTTTCTTTTCTTTTCTTTCTTCCTTCCTTCCTTTCTTGCTTTTTTCTTTCTTTTATCATTATTAGGCAGCGACAAGTTCACGTATGTCGAATTTGCATCCTCTTGTATAGCAATGGCATGCAATCTTATTATTGGCTACGTTGGCTGCGTGACGGTATTGTGCATTAGGCGCAACAGGAAAACGCATTTTCTGTAAGCACTCGCTAACCTACTCCCCATTTACAATTTACCATCTCCGTAAAGACTAATATCCACCATCCACCATCCACAATTCACCGACCGCCATCGATTATCCCTTTCCAACCTTTGCTGCATCAGGCATTCGTCTCCTTCCGGATTTTGACCAGTCGCCGGTAGCTCACTACTTCCAGCACTGACCTTGCAGGGGCGGTGCGACCACAACTCAGCTGCTCCATCCTGCCGTGTGATCCGCTTTGGTCCAGATTCAAAATAACCTCAGCCTCCCTTCTTCTCCTATCTGGCCTTCATCGACTATTTATCTTTGTTTTTGCTTGCTTCCAACGGATGACCTCGAGCCTGATGACAATCCCGCAGCTTCAACCCTATACCACCGATGCAACAAGGACATCCGCAGCCCAAGGAGATCTTCAACCACCTCCCGTCGCCCGGCCACCTCCCATGTACCGCGGAGAAAGCGTATATCAATCTGACCCAACGCTTCCACCGCCCCTGGCCCTCCACGTCACAGACGCCATTTCGTGACACATATTTACTCAAGAGCCGACCCTTTCCCCCCGCAAAGAGACAATGCCTGAGTCTCCGTCTCGGCCGGCTCGACCAAGAACATTGACCAGAATAGTCACTAATGCTGCCATTTCGCTTCAAAAGACCCTTACCGGAGGAGGGACAGGCGAGGATGGCGACATCGCATCTTGGAACCCGGCCTTGGGAGACGGCTTCGATCATCCCTCTCTTCCACCAGCTCCTCGTTCATCCATGCAGAATGGCAAACAAATGGCTCTGGACTTTCGTAAGAGTGGTGAATTGGGCTGGAGGAAATATGTCAAGTACTTCACACCATCGTATGTGAGGCCCCATGGAATCCTCACGCCACCTGCTCACGGCATGTTCACAGCTGGTTCACGGTGACCATGGGCACTGGTGTAAGCAGCTTCCTCCCCCAGTCGATAGTAATTTCTGGCCTTGTCCTTCTATGCCGAAGCTGACCACGAATTCATTTCATCTGTCTTGGATGCAATGGCTGACTTTCAGGGCTCCAAAAAGGTCGTGGCGAGCCTACTTAACCAGTTCCCGTACAATGCGAGATGGCTTTATTGGCTGTCTGTCGTCGTCTTCTGCCTGAACATTGGCCTCTTCGCCTTATTCACCTTCGTGTCCATTCTCCAGTTTGTTCTGTTTCCCAGGGTATGGATCACCATAATTGAGCGGCCAAATCAGGCCTTCTTCTTGAGTAGTATACCAGTGGTACGTGTCTCGACTTTCTCTCGCTGGAGGACGTACTGACTCGCACCCGCAGAGTCTCGGGACTATCGTCAACATGATGGTGTTTGTGTGTGCTCCTGCGTGGGGAAAATGGGTCGTTTATCTTGCCTGGGGGTGAGTATTGCTCTTCACTCTTGACACGGTAGCTCCCTCTAATCAGTCCAGGTTATGGATGGCTGATGCAGCCCTGTCACTGCTCTGCGCCTTGTTCCTACCTTTCCTGCTCGTCATCAAACGACAAGAAGAAACCCCGTTGTCGACAATTACCGCTCTGCAAACATTCCCCGTCATCGGAACAGTGGTCGCATCCGCCACTGCGGCTTTGGTTGCAGGAGTCTTGCCGGACAATGAACAAGCTTTGGTAACGGTCATCATAGGCTATGTTCTTTGGGGTGTTGGCGTTCCTTCAGCAATCTTCATCCTCATCACCTATTGGCAACGACTGACTATTCACAAGCTCCCGCCGCGTGAGGTTATTGTGTCTTGTTTCATACCCCTTGGCCCTTTGAATATGGGGAGTTTCGCGATCATGAAGCTTGGAGACGTCGCCATGAGAGTGTTCCCTCTGACAGAGACTATCCATCCTCTCGCGGGAGATTTGGCCTACAATTTTGGAGTGCTTTTGTCCTTGATCCTGTGGGGGTTTACCTTGTTGTGGCTCTTTCTCGCTGTTGCAACAATATACCATTGCAAGCATTTCCCATTTAATATGGGTTGGTGGGGGTAGGTTTAATCGCAACAACATATCGTGTTTAGCCAATCCGGCGACTGACGGCGGTCAGGTTTACTTTTCCGATTGGCACGTTTGCCCTTTCGAGCAATACGCTTGCGAAAGAGATACCTTCTCGGTTTTTTCGAGTCATCGGATCGGTAATGCTCCTCCAATCCCCGCTACCTCCACGCATCGCCTGGCTAACCATTGCAATGACAGATAACCTCTGTCTGTGTTTTTCTGCTTTGGATCCTCGTCGTGTACGCCACACTTAGAGATCTCATCACAGGCGGGCAGCGACTGTTCAAGGCACCTACACGGGCAGTGCCCAACATTGACGCAGGGCCCGACAAATTTGACGATGCAGAGAAGCTTACCTGACGAGTGAGAGCGAGGGCTATGGTGTTGGAAGCTGTGCATATAGCACTTGGTCTTCTGAGATGATCAGAATTCAGGCGGGCTTCCCGGTTACAATTTCATCGGTTCCGTTTCGGTGATATTTACCCATGCAGAATGCAAGAGCGATATAAATCCATTCTCTCGTGAGAAGACAACCTTGAAGAAGCCTTGAAAGAACAGAGGCCTCTTGTCGTTCTGGAATGGGGCCCAAATCCGACCTGCAGAACTGGTGCAACATCGAAGCCTTTCGACATTATACTCGGTCAGCGTCCTATCTGTTGGCACACTAATCCAAAGAGACGTCTGTGGCTGGTTCGTGTTTCTGATGGAGGCGAGCGATGATCCAGACCAATTCAGCCCCTGTGTTTCGACGAACGGGATTCTGGCGAGGAAAGCTTCAGCCACCTCGATCGAAACAAGCGACTCTGATCAGGGCAACAACAGAGTAGCCACATGTTCACACCTCCGCCTCCCAATGAAAGGTTCTCCATCAAGCTCACAGTATTAATCGCGACGGATGGCGGCACACTAACCCACTGGGGTCACGAGGCTCGCCGACATAAGCCCCTTGGACTGCCTAGTCTCAATTTCCAAGCTCTGCCCTCCCTTCGGCTGGGCAACTGGGCATTCCTGGGATATTGATGACGGACACGGAAAACCAATAGCGGAATGATATGTCAGCGCAGGGTAATGGAGCACTCAGAGGGCGATTCCGCGAGGGGTAAGGCAGACGATCTTTTGAAGATGGCTGAATGCATTGGTCTGGCCGGGAGGGAGATGGGAGATGAAAGGGACGGTTTCCCAGCAGAGAATACTGTTAACTGGATGCGATCATAAATATTGAGAGAGTACTTGGATGCTTCGATACCTTTGAATATGAGTAGCGAAGTAGATTAGGTACCAAGGTACAGCACATACATACTCCGTATATCGTTGTCCTAATCCAACGACAAGTCAGGGAAGCCCCGCATCCAAACAACGAAAACTGCGTTGCGTGTGTAGGAGCTCAACTGCGTCTGGTACCCCTCACAACCCAAAAATTCATGAGACGAGTTCTCGCCATGACAGTTCGCAACACGGAAGAGATCGTCTTTTCGTTCCCACGGACCTGAGCCAACCAGTCCCATGCCGAACCTATCGCTTCCTACAACAAACTAGGACGAGAAAAAAAGAGGTAAAAGTGGGAGAAGAGGAGAGAGAGAGAGAAGAAAAGAGGAGGGAGGAACACAAGTTCAACGCAACCGCAACCACAACGCACGACGACGATGGCACCGTCGACAAACGAGACCGCGACCCCGGCGCCCCCCGTACGCATCCTGATCATTAACCCCAACACATCCCAGCAGATGACGGACGCGCTCGTCCCCGTAGTCGAAAACCTAGGCATCCCCGCGGCGCAGTACACGTTCTTCACTTGCCCGACGACACCAGGAAGTATCCCGAGCATCAACTCGCCCGCCGACGCGGCAAAGTCAGCGGAGATCTGTCTCCCGCACTTGGTGCCGCTGCTGCCGCACCACGACTGCTTCCTGGTCGCCTGCTACAGCCAGCACCCGCTCGTGAGGGAACTGAAGAGGGAGTGTGCGGCACTCACGGCTGCGGCGACCCCCCACGGCTCCGGCGCCAGGAAGTACGTGACGGGGATATTCGAGGCCAGCGTGCTGGCGAGCCTGGCCCTGCTTGGTGAGGCTGAGGGTGATCTAGAGACTACCACCACCACGACGGAATCCTTCAGGGCAGGCTCCGGCGCCTTCGGGATCGTCTCGACCGGCAAAGTCTGGGAGCACGCCCTGCAGACGGCTGTCGAGGAGTTCCTCGGGTGTCCCGCAACCACTGCAACAACTGCAGGAACAACCGGGGAGTCGAAGTCGCGCTTCGTAGGCTGCGAAACCACAGGATTGAACGCGAGCGAACTGCACGATCTGCCCCCTGCCGAGGTGCGCAGGAAGATGATGGACGCGACCAAGCGGCTCCTCCGTCGCGGTAACACCAACACCGACACTACCGCTACAACAACAGACTCAGGTTCAGCAGGGGCAGCAGCAGCAGCAGCAGAAGGCTCCGGCTCGAAACCGACGACAAAAACGATCGTCTCGCGCGTGAAGGCAATCTGTCTAGGCTGCGCGGGCATGGTGGGCCTAGACTCGGCGGTGCGGACCGCATGCATCGAAGCCCTGGGCGAGGAGAGAGCCAGGGACGTCTACATTGTCGACGGCGTCAAGGCTGGCGTGGGAACTTTGTATGCACTTGCGCGTGCTGGGTTCTAGCATTGACCTGACCTGACCTGACCGGCTGGCTAACTAGCTAGCCATCTAACTGACTAACCAAATATCTACCTTGCCTTGCCTTGTCTTGCCTTGCCTTGCCTTGCGAGTAAGTGGGTGGACAGGTACATAGGAGCTTGTATGCCGAATGAAACGGGCTCTCTGCCCAGGCAGCGGGGGACGAAGGGAGTCTGTGAGCTGCCAAGTCAGCCAGTCACCCAGGTACCCATGTGAAATAGTCGCCGCAGGGAGGTTATATGCTGGCTTAGGCTTCTTCACCAATGGGCCGTCAAAGGAGGGAAGAAAGCGAACCACCAAGGGTGTTTTTAGAAGTGAAATATGTCTTTGTTGTCGTGGCCAAGGCTATGAGTGTACCACGTAGCTACTTGGATCAAGCAAAAGGAACGACAAAAGAGTTGGACGCATCGATCGACACACATCTCTCAAAAAGAGTAGTAGTCGATGGATGGGGGCGAGGGCGGGGAAGTCGGAAACGACAGTACAAGTACAACAGTGTACTCAACAGGCAAGAACAAAATTTCTGTGCAGTCTAGGAGGTTGCAAGAGACCAACCCTGGGGTATTTTCGCCGTTCGCAATGCAACGAAAAGCAGTCTGCCACCCCATCGCATGAAATGCCTCGCGAGTGGCTTCGCAAGTCCTGCTTTTCTTACCGTTACCTGCTGCGCATTAGGGTCGGAAAACTGGTGTGGTGGGTGGATCAGAACAGCTTGTGTTCGAGCGTCATGTCGGATTCAGGCTGAAGACCGACACAGGCACGGAAGATGTTGGTCAGAGCACTGCGCTGCTTGGCCAGGGCGTTGACGACAGGTGTTCCGGGAGGCGTGAGTGGCGCCTGAGGGGGGAAAAAAACCCATGTTAGTTGAGACACCAAAACAAAGTCGCAATTCAGCATGTGCGCTCTTACCTTCAACATGTAGCTAAGAATGCTGAGAACACTGTGGAAGCCCTTGTATTCCGTAGCGGCTTCAGTCTTCCACTGGATGCGAGTCATCATCTCAGTCACGAGGACAAGATCGATGATCAGGGGCGAGGCCAACAAGGAATCCTCACAGACATTGAAAATGCTGATTGTCTGATGGCCACCCATGAAGATTTCCGCATAGTACTCATCCAAGGCACGCTTGTTGTCCCCAACTGCAGGCATGTATTTGATAACAACAGTGTGATCTGGGTGCTCGTCCTTCTTGTACAGGACAGTGTTGGCAGCCACCATGTCGTCAACGACATTCGACTTGGAAATCTCCTTGGAGCGGAACTGTTTCTGAGAGCTCAAGTTCTTGCCGTCGTTGTTGCCAAGATGGTTGTAGCTTGCAATGGAAGTCAACTTGATACCGGCATTGATCAGAAAATCGACCAATGCAGACTTCATCTTAGTCTGACCAGACTTGAAGTCGTCACCTCCAATGTACGACTCGTGTTTCTCAGCGAGTTGAACCGCTCCGGGAACAAAGGTATTCTGTGGGGAGCCGTTGATGAAAGGGGTCTTTTCAAGGATGCAAGCGACAGAGAAGACAGTTGAAGGTGATACTTCCTCGTGTCCCTGCTCAATGGCTTTCAACAAGTTCTCGGCAGTGTCATTGACACCCGGGATGATGTCGGCGTAGCGTTCCGTGTTGGCAGTCCAGAGAACAATGACCTTGTCAAGGTTGTTTTGAGCCTTGAAATCCCTGCGTGGGTTAGCATCTTTAGGTACATTGGGTGTCGAGCAAGGGATCACACCTGATGTCCGCCCTGATCTGATCAACATGAGCCATGCTTGCTTTGCTGCCCGGCAGAATGTTATCCGCACGATCTTCCTGATTCGCAGCTATGAAATCCGGGTAGTAGATACTCGGCAAGGGCTTCATGAGGGCCATCTCCTTGTAGACCATGGCCTTGAGGGTCGGTTCAAGAACCTGAGCACGGTCCATTGCGGCCGCAATGTTCATGCTGCTGATGTCCCAACCGCCAATCACAATGTCATTTGGGTGAACCATAGGCAAGACGTCATGGAAAGGAATATTGACCTCTTCGTTGGTTTGGGCGTCAGCCCCCAGTTTGATGGTTGAGCTCATAATGACAGAGCCATAGTAGTTCGCAGCACGACTTCCTTCACGAGTATCCCAAACAAGTCCGCGACGATTAGCAATGATGCCAGCAGTGACAGTGGAGCCGTTGTTGCCGCCCCATCCCACCAACATCACACCGACCTTGGGCACTTTGCGATCGACTTTGAAGTCATAAACGGTTTCCTTGGGGGTTGCAGTGTATTTCCCATCCGCTGACCTGGTGACCGCGGTGGTGCGGTAGACGTACTTGCTCTTGATGTGGTCGTCAGTGTATGTGACATTGGGGGAATTGACCGTGAAAAGATCCTTGGGCGAATGCGTTGAGTCCGAAGTATGGTTACCGCTATACCCGTTCATGGTGCCGACGCCGATTTCCGCGTGTGGTGCCATATTGAATTCAGGAAAATTGGCTGAGTGGCTTCTTCGAAGATTTGGAGTAACAGCGGTCTCTGAGATATGGCGAATTTATCGGGTGTTTGTTGAATCCGATGCTCCTCCAGGAGGGGACGAGCGTCGGCTACCGTTGAACGGGTGATGGGACCTTTAAAGAGGTTGATATGTCAGAGCAGGTCCATGAGCGGTCTGAAACGAAGAATTCGAAGGCGTGACCAAATTTTCAATAGAACGAGCGAGTATCCAACCCCGACGTCCAAGGGCTGGCACGGTGGAAAGAGAATCGTCGAGGTACCACCCCCGGTCAACTGCATGACAAAGGGCGAGATGGCCATGACACGAGATTGACGCCAGGTACCGCCAGATGAAGATTCGAAATGCATGAACAGGGGATAGATGCAGGTACCAGTGCTGCAGGACCGGGCTGGAAAGAGACGACGAAGTGGTACTTACGAGGGCAATAGATTGGAAAACGTCTTGGCGGTTAGGCGGATCACTCGGAAGCGATCCTTGGGTCTGGAGAGGAGTGAGAAGAGATCACAGCTAGGCGGTGATCAGACTCGCAGTTCGAACAGATCTGGGACGAGGATTGTGTGGTCGAAGGGGATGGATGTCGAGGGAATGTCGAGGCTTTTGTATTGCCCGTGCAGTCGTCAATCGTTGTGTGTGGTGAATAGGGTGACTAATGGGAATTGCGTCTTCCTAGCCTCGCTAACGGGCTAGCCAGCAGCTAGTTAGCCTTGTCACTTTGACCGCCTCGACTGTGGATTGTCCGAACCGTGGCCCGATAGCCGTTTGGGCAGCAAGTCCTCCGTAACGGGTGTCCGCTGAATAGTCTCTTGCTCTGAAGAGGGGTAATGTTGGTGTATCCCACCGTTATCGTTTGAAGACGTGGGAACAGTGGTACAGTGCGCGAGAGTGATCGCATGTTGTTGTCCTCCATCCCACTCACCGGCGGACCTTCTCTGCTCTCGTATCTGCCGCCGGCCCCAAACATGACTGGAAATCCAATGCTGATTGCTGAAAACCCAAGCATGTGCATATAGCCCGCATAAGACCTGCACCACTTGTGACGGTTGTGATCCGGAATCATATCTTGGAAATCCCACTTGCCTCCAATCAATCCACCACAGTAATCTCACCTCTCTCGACATCCCGCGTCTCTCCGAATCCAGTCTCCCTATCCGGTTGAACCCACTGGGTCAGTCTTTGCTGGTCAATTCATGTCTAATCTCTCCCAGACCGTGGGTTATTCTTTCGGTCACACGACGTGCTCTTTGGGCCCAATTTCAAACTTTGACGCATGCCGTCCACACTCTGACGGCAGTTCTGATCGCGCTGTGCTCATGGTTTAGTCCCGATCAGGCCCACCCAAATCGAATACCTTTCTTCCATCCCTACGGAAAAGGTCTCCGCGTCGACGAAGCCGGGGGGTTCTTCGTGGTCGTCAAAGCAAGCTTTGGGATTTCTGACCCTTTTCCGAATCATGGACAATCTTTTTCCTGTCTCGGTTGTTTGCTTCCTTGCCAGATCTGACACTAAATCCCCTGCCGAGTGACAGTTGCGCAGCAAGGTGACGATGCGCTAGGACGACCGACGCCATTCGCGAGAGCGTCGTGGGGGTACCGCTGCTTACCGCAAGCCTGGTGCATAGGGCCGAACCACTATTTCGAAACTCACGTCGTTCTGCCGCCCAAGTCCTCAGTGGATGTCGATTAGATAGATCATCCCAGCAATGGCCTGCCCGATCGTCAATGTATTGAAAAAGAGTTATCCCGCTCTCAATTTTGCCCGATTGACTGGAATATTTTCACTGGAGGAAGCCAACAGCTCGACGTCGCACAAACCACTGTAGTCGACAGGACAAGCAAGTTCATTCGAGGGAAAAGCCTTTGTAACAGTCAATGGTGAAACAATAACAGGAAAATTGAGGTGGAGGTGTTGCACTAGTATATACATTATCGATATATGTCTAACATATTCTTCTGATCGCAGACCGGTACCCTTGTTCCGGCACGAAATGTTGTCGCTATGTGACCGGCACACGCCTCGTATATACATAGTTATTGTTAGAAGGTAGAAGAGCTGCAGCCAACTGAACCATGCAGCAGCACAACTTGGGACGATTGCAGTCGTGCAAAGCGAAGGTTTTGGTATTGAATTCTCACCCAGGCCGGCTCCAAATCGAAGAAACTCCTGTACTCTTGCCAGTTTAGAAATCCGGCGCCATTCGTTGTATCCATCATTGTCATGAATTAGGTCGTTGTCATTAGTCTGGTCGTTCTTCGCTCGGGGAAATTCCTGCCCTTCACGAGTCCGGGGTCTCCACTGGATATATATTCTCGAATCAATGGACTTGGTCGGCTGGGAGCGTTCTCATGGGATTTTGGTAAAGTCGCAAGGCGAAACGCATCTCGTTCGCAATATACTTTTCCAGAGAGTTCAAAGTAGTCGTGATCCAGTCGGACTCTGCAAGTTGTGCACTTTAAGCATTCCGGATGGTGCTTCTCTTTCCCGCGCCCCGCCACGTTTGCTGTTTCCATGTACAGTCCTTCGATCCCTTTGCCACACGTAGCACAAAGAGAATTCTCTAGCTCGTGATAGTGGTAAGCGCAATACGGGTGATCGTTGTGGACGTAGAATTCGGCTGTGGGAAACGCAATCTTGCAGGCCTGGCACACAAAGCACTCCTTGTGGTACCGACCCGTCAAGCGACCGTCAGCGCTCGATACTGACTTTTGTCCCGTAAGAATTAGCTGAGAACAGCCGCGACAGACTCCCTTGTTGGGAACAGGAGGCTTGGTACTGCTGCTTAATGATGTTTGAGGCCCATGAGTTGACTTCGGGCTTGTCCGTAGACCCACAGAGATCGAGAATAATGAGTCGGTCGAGTCAGATGCCCGGTTGGGGGGTTCTGGAATCGGGGACAAACGGCCTTGTTGAAGGAATGGATCTGTTGGTGAATCAGGCGATATTTCTGGGATCTTTGGTCTTAGTGGTGCTGGCACATCCATCTCACTAGGGCTGAGTAGAGCAGAAGTCAGTAATTCGGATGATTTGGTTGCTACGGGTTCGGCCTGAGGTGAACTTGATCTGGAACTGGCAGTGTGCTCAGAGAACGCCGCCGAACCATAAGACGAAGCTGAATCAACGGACACCCGTCGGAGAGCTTCAATAAGCTCTGCTCCCTGGGGATTGGGTGGCACCACAGCGATGTCCGATGACCCTGGTGTTTTGACATTTTCAGCCTCAAGCGACGGTGTAAGCTTTACCGAAGGCTCTTCATTTGCAGGTTCCACCACCACCATCGGAGGAGCGACAGGAACGGGCTCGGGTGTTAGCCCCTCGAGCGCCTTGAGTGATTCTTCATGAATCGGTGAAGGACCAGGCGATCTCAGCGGTGCCAAGCCAATCTGTGACGGTTCTGTTGCGAAGAATGACCGATCGTTAGTTGGACTGAGGATACTTCGGCCAGCAAAGTGGTTCTCGTGGACATCTGGCTCGTCACTGAGAGCTTGCCGCACAACTTCCCGGCGCAATGTGGCTGATTGAGATCGTCGTCGACCAAACAATCGGCCTAATCCTCTTGAAAAGCTACCAGCTGGAGATGGTTGAGGCTCCGTAGGTGACTTAACCAAAGGCGCGATATCCTGATTGTTGAACAGCGGGGGAGGTCTCTTCGTTCTGTAGGCCGGCTCAGTCCCGGCTCTAGACCGTTCGTCAATTAGTCTAGGAGCATCATCGGTAGGCTGCGACTTGAATTTGTTGGTTTCCGGATCACCGAAGTCAAATGCGCCGAGACTTGGATCTAGTTTTGCATCACGGGCAGGCTCTCGCTGAGTGGTAGAGCTGGAAATTTCAGGTGATAAGCTTCTTTCGTGAAGAACCTCCTTGGCCCCGTCGCTCTGCATTGCTAAGGTCATCTCTATTGGATTCACTTGACCTTCTGGCAACTTTTCACCTGTTTGCTGGCGGTTGTCCCTTTCAGTGCTCTGAGGGGGGCTCCCGGAATCCCTGGGGCTTGGTGGGCGATGCTGCTTCTGCCTTGGTGATTCATCGCTCAGAGTCGTCACAGAGTTGTCTGATCCTCCTCTTGAAAGTGGGTATGGTCTGCTTCCCGGTGGTAATCCCTTGTGAACATCACGAGATTTAGACCGTTTCGTATCACTGCGTTGGGTTGCGGATCTCTCTCGTCTTCGTGTTGTTGTGGCAGCTCTCGAGGGCAACGGGAATGGGGGAAATGCACAGTCGAGATTCGTCAATTCTGGCGATGGCGGACGTCGGGGTCCTGGTATCGACCCTTTGCGAATGGCAGGCCCTGGTGACCTAGGTCCAGAAGTCGCACTGATGGGAGATATCAGTGAACTGTGCCCGCTGCTTGCAGGCGTGAGCTCGCCATGGAACACTGGAGGTCGAACTGAGGGGCCAGTCAGCATGTGTCTACACAAACACTCGTCGATACTCACAGCCGAGAGAAGGGTCAATTCTGGGCAACGGCGGTCGCTGCGGTCTCATGCTCCTCAAACTGGTGGATGAATCTGTCCGTGGTGGAGGTGGAGGCATGATTGAAGCTTCAGAGGGTTGTCAGTCGATTGCATCATTCGTAAATTCAGACCTTCAAGTATACCTGCTGGAGGTGTTGTTGTTCCTGCGCACTGATGCTCGGTCAGACCTGCCATCTCGACGTCTTGTCCGCAATGTGAGCATTTGATGACAGGTAACAAGGTCGCATTCCTTGCGGGGGCCTCCATCCTTTCTTCCTTCCTTCCTTCCTTCCTTCCTTCAAATCCTTTGAGCGTTTTGTTGATCCGTCTATTCTCCCAGGCTTTCTCTCATTGACGATGTCAGCAATTCATTGCCAGGGAGCAACTCCACGACGATCTGTCTCGAAGCACGGAATTGGTTGAGTGGCTGGAAGATATCGTATTCAGTTATCTAGAGTTTGGGCGACATAGGTTGGAGGGAAATGGCCTCGTTAAGAAAATGGCCTCGAGCTAGGACAACCAAACCGTTGTGTGAGCAAGGGCAGGGTATGTTAATGCGGACGAGATAACAAGATCGCGGCCAGCGACAAGCAAGGTTATGGGTAAGCGCCTGGTCATTTTGGTGCAGGACCCAATGCATTATCCGCAGACTGTCATGTCGACACAGTCTTTGGCCGGGGTAGGAGATGAGGCTTTCAGAAAGTTCGCGCCTAAAGGTGATTAGACGGTGGAGATAAAGCCACGGCGTCGATCAAAGCAGCATTAGGACTTGCGGTAGGAGTTTCTAACTCGCTTTAGCATTGACATTTGACCAGGGGGCCTGGGCCACACTGACCCCGACGACCAGTGAGATCTGTGCCAAAACGAGTAAAGGCACATGCTCACCGACAGAACGTCTTCAGCATCGTCAGTGTCCAGGATATGGTGATGCTGGTGCTTGAGCAACGAAGCTTCAAAAGGGTGCTTATGCCATCGCATCTCTTTCGTTGGCTTTGGCATCAATTGGCGACTCTCTGAACTGCTGTTGTCGGTGTCCAACGAGGTCCCATCTTTTATCGGTGTGTCCTAGAGGTTGGATTTCCTGAATGAGATTGATATGTCTCTTGACCCCATATTTTGCGTCGTCATCTTTAGGGGATATGTCACTTTACCGCACGAGGACTAGATTGCAGCCACGAACCGCCACCTCGACATGGATTGACTTGCAACGCTGGAGGCAGAGGAACGCTTGTGGCTGTTGGCTAGGCCTCGATGGGGTTTGGGATTCTGGGTCTTAGGGTCGGCGGACATTGATGTTTAACCCATTAGAATAGAGTTGCAGGTACCAGCGACTTGGAGCTGCAGAAATTCTCCGTGAAGGGGATAAAGATACAGAGACAGGTCCGGGATCAATGGCGCTGGTTTGACATGAATCAGACTGAGGGATGCAGCAGACCATTCAGCGTCAAACAGAGAACGCATGGGCAGCCATTCATGTTGAGTGTTGTGATATGTGAGTGGTCTGGCAGTGGTGGCAGGAGATTAAACTGGAGATGAGGTTGTTGTTTGTGGGAGGAAGAAACCGCCAGTGGATGGCTAGCCTAAACGACGCTTCAGGTCCGGCACTAGACGCCTAGTGAGCCTACCTTGGACAGGTCCAGGCAGGTCCTTAACTAAAAGCCGCCTGGGAGATCTCCTCTTTGCCCACACCGCTGCCACCAAAAGCGCCCTCTGGGCTTCCCCTGATTTCTTCCACGGCCAATCAATGCTGCATTGTTCAACTTCGCTTGCATTATCAGAGCACGATTCACTTTTACGGGCATTCTCCCTCAGGGTGGTCCCGCCCAAACTTCGCAGAGATTCCCTCTCTTTGGTCAGCAATTGAGTTCGAGAAGACTGCAGAGAAGAACCTCGATGATTCGGCGCAAATTTGCATGTATTTGTCGCCAACCATCGCATTATGGGCATTGCTGCAACCAGCGGAAGCCATACGGACGAGTCGCGAAGCCACGAGGCTGAGGGATTTTTCCACAGGGCAGGAAGGATGCAAAAGGAACTACTCGGTATTGAGTAATAATGCTCCATAACGAGACGGACCGAGTCCTGAGGATCGTCTGCGATGTCGACATGGCTCACCGCCGATCACTTTCCAATTCCACAAGAACAGCAGATCACTGCTCATCTCGCGTCGGTGAGAAAGAACACGACCAACTTTCCCATGTATGTTTCATTCTTCAAAATGAACCTGCACATCACCCTGGCAGTTGCTTTTCCAACTCCACCACCTTGGGCATCGAGACGCTACCAACCCTGACCTTGGTGAAATCCGGTTCGAAGACCTCTTCAACATCAGGGTACGGACCCATGGCCGTGATGGCCTTGGGGTTGATATCCCAATGGCTCTTGGTGTAGTTCTCCTTGATATGCTTGAAGTTGGTGGTCTCCCTGAATCCCTTGACATTCCAGTACAGGTTCTTCAACCAATTATTCAATTGTGGGTAATCGTGCCGAATCGTGCCTAGGTTACATTTGAAATGCTGCACGTACACGGTATCAAAGCGCACGATGGTGGCGTATGCCCTGATGTCCAACTCGGTCAGGTCTTTGCCTAGGATATACGGTCCGCCGTTCTGCGCGACCATCTTTTCCAATTTATTCAGCGCGGCAAACACCACGGGGACATTTTTGTCATATTCTTCCTGGTTCGGTGCGAATCCAGCCTTGTAAACGCCGGTATTCAAGTCCCTCTGCATCCAGACACTCACCTCGTCGATCTTGCCGCGCAAATGCTCCGGATACAGCGTGACCCTGGCATATTCCTCGGGGAGAAGAGAATTGAACGCGGTCTGCAGATTCCTCATTAACTCGGGACTCTCGTTGTTCACGATCGTGCCCGTCTCCCTGTCCCACAGTACGGGGACGGAATACCGTCCTTTGTAGCCTGGGTCAGCCTTGAAGTAGACCTCGTGGAGATAGTGGCTCCCGAACAGTTTGTCAACCGTGGCATTGGGGTATTCGCCTTCGGACTTAGGAAATTGCCACCCGGGCCATCCATGCTCGTCGCCTTTGGGGTAAGGTTTCACGATGGAGATATCTATGAGGTCGGTGAGGCCCTTGAGATGGCGGACGAGGTTTGCCCTGTGCGCGAACGGGCAGAAAAGCCCAATGTACATGTGATAGCGACCTCGCTGCGGTGGAAAGGGACCGTCTGGACTGATCTGCCCATGCCACGACTGCGACGATCCCTGGAGGTGCTCGGCCACAGAGCCGGGATGGGGGCGGCCTGGAGCAGCTGTAATCGTCGATGTTGTCGTTGAAGACATTGAGGCGGCTGGGTTGTGGATCGGATTGGAAGTAGGCTGCTCACTACTATGGATTGAGACTATCTGTTTCGCCAGTGACTGAAGCCGCCTCATCAGGCCTCTGTCTCTCTCAATGTGCCAAGTACACCTAGGTCGAAAGGGTGTTTATAATAGGAAAATACTACCTCGTACACGATGGGCGTGACGCTTGCGTGTGTTATTGCATGCACGGATTACACATGGAAGGGCGCATCAATTCCGTTCGCATATGACGTCAATTTTCTTTATGGCTTGCGTGCTCCGGATGCTTCGACAACCATCAATCTTGCTCCGTCAATTTGCCTTTACACATCATGAGCTGGCATTCATTCTGCTTTTGTAATGCTGTTAAGGGAACGGTACCGGCTTCGTGTGGTCGTTATTTTTTAAGTTCGACGATCGCCTATGTCTCCTCCCTCGAATCACAGATTTCGTGCTTATGCCTCCGACTTGACCTTCTCCTTCAATTGCTGCCCTTCTTCGACCTTCTTGGACAACACCTTCTTCACATCTTCAATGGCACTTCTGACCAACTTCTCTGCCTCCTGTCCGTGCTTCTGACTCAGTTCCTGCAACTGCTGCAACTTCGGCCCAATCTCTGATCCACCAGGCATGATGTTGAGCAACTGCTCAATTCCACCCCCGGCACCTTCTGAGGCCTTGTCCACTTGCTCCTTCACGAAATTTTGAAGATCGTTTGTATTTCCTGACTGAGCCGCCTCATGCATCCTCTGCCACAACTGACCCAAGTCTCCCCGAAGCAGCTTGGACTTGTTCTCCTCAATGAGCTTCTTCATTTGCGGTTGTTTGTCCAACAATGGTTTGGCTTGCTCCATGCCCTTTTGCCAGGCTTGGTCGCCGTACTGCCTCAGCTGTTGTGTCTTGTCCTGCATTAGATCTTGAATTTTCTGCACGGTCGAAAAGCTGACGCCGCCGGCAAGAATGCTGCGCGCTTGCTGCCACGTCTCGTCAACTGCCTTCTTGGCTTCTGGACCGTACTGCTCGCCCATCTGCTGCAACTGTTGGAATCTGTCCCCAAACTGGCTCTTTATTTGAGGGTGGTTGTCCAAGATGTCCTGCCCAGCGCTAGCAGCCAGGCTGCTGATTCGCTTGAAGCAATCTTCAAGGATTCCCCAAGCTTCAACGAGCGCTTCTATGCTGAATCCCTTTTGGGTGACGCCCTTCAGCTTTCCGTAGGTGTCATTGATGATTTGGTCCACCTCGTCTCCGTGCTTCTCCCGGACTTTGTCCACATCAAAGGCAGAGTCGACGTATTTTGAAGCTCCCGGAATCATCCTTGTGTAGCTTTGTACCGTCTCCTCCAGCCATTGGATAGCTTGGTTCGGCTCGGGGGCGTTCTGAGTAGTCTTCTTGAAGGCGTTCTCAACGTAAGCCTTGGTCGAGTGTATCGTGTTCAGCGCTGATTTTGCACCAGAGAATTGATACCACATGTATCCCAGCACGAAGGCAAAGGTGCCACCAGCCAGTCCCCCCAGGAGAGCTTGGCCTGAAGACGACGAGGCATCGCTAGCAGTTTTGGCGGGGCCCGTGGACTGGAAGCGGGCGTTGCGAGAATGCGAAGAGAATTGGACTGGCTGGCGGACTCTCAACGCCCGACCTGAGCGAAGAGCTGCCCTAGGGGTTCTTGCGAGCATCGTTTAAGGGTATCAAAGATTCAAAGGGGATATAGGGGACAGCTGACACGAAGTACCAGTGGTGCAAAGAACTGTAAGTGAGAAGGATTTGAAAAGCAGCGAAGGAAGCACACAAAACAAACAAGGAGCGCTCTTTTTCGCCGCGCGACAATGACGCAGCTTGAGCCAGTCCGGGCGATGCTTCGACTCATGCTTCCAATACAGTTTCACGATCTTTCATTGGCAGGGTCCTGTATCCAGCCTCCAGAGGGAAGCCGCGGCGCAGGACGTCATAGTGAAGACAGACACCTGGTGCGGGTTCTGCAAATATCACGTCACGCGAGTTCCATTATTACAGCAACGAACGGATTCCCCAATTGGTTCTGTTAGCATGACCCTGGGCTTCTGAACACGAGATGGCTGTCATGGAAATCTTGGAGAAGAGGCGAGAGGGAAGGAAGATCAGACTTGCAATCCAATGCAGGAACAGGAGAAAGCGACAACGGTTGCCCAAATTAGGTAGATCAGACGTCATCACCTGTTAGTTGGTGCCACCCACTACGAGGTACTGGACCCCAGCCTCGCTGCAAACCCTGCAGCCCTTTTGTTTACCACCAACATTCTGTCCTAGTCTTCCCAACGCTCTCTCGTCCATGTCAGCAGCCGCAGTCATGATTTGTCGAACCGCTTCAATGCCGGTCCGATGGACGACAGGCTCGTCTCGTTCGCTCCAATCTCTTCAACCAAGGCGGACAATATCTGGTCTTTCTCGACTAAACCAGAAAGGCAGATGGCCACCCTCAACATCTTCGCGATATGCACATCCGTCGCAGATTTCAGTATCATTCCACAGCTTCTCACCCCAATATGCACAATCACCCACCGCCGACGCTCTGATGGAAAATCTAAACGACCTTTACGCCACTGCAAAAGACGAATTCGAAATTGCGGCCGAAGAGACGGAGAAGAAAACAGTCTACGCTGCGGATGATAGAGAGGCGGCAGTGGACGCATTGAAGATGTTGCAAGAGGCCTTCCAAAAAGCACTGAAGGAGACTAGCCCGGAAGTCAGCAAGGAGATCCAGGGTCGTGTGGGACCGAGGATACGAGAGCTAGAAAATGCGGTTAAGGCGATGGAAGAGATGGCCATGGAGGACTGAAACATATGGTCAACTACAGATGGACTAACGCTCCTGTGATAGACGGAATGGCGAGCGTGTTTGCAAGCTACCAAAACGGACCTTTGTGAGACCTGGCAGCACCGGTTAAATTCGACCTCTGCTGTGAGCAAAGACGTCTGTTTCGTCTGAGTAGAGCCTCATCTGCTGGAAGATTCCACGGAAGGGCGATCTATGCCTGGAAATCTGAAATGGAGAGACGATCTATGATGGAAATGCTGCGAATATAGAAAGCATACATGCAACAATGATCAAAACGTTGAAGTGGATTTGAATCGTGGTATTCTCTTGATCAGGCACAGACTTGTCTTGGTGTCCGTACGCCGTGCAAAGCTATTTCTCATATTTGCCAATGCAGCCTTCGAAGCAGGCCCTTGTCAACTGTGTGCTCATTTCCAGGTTCCCTGCGCCACCTAGTAGCGCTTGCCTTCTCTCAGAACATCACCATACTCTTCCAGCGGACTTCTGATGAGCTTCGTCTCTTTCCACAAGTTGGGCGTCAAGAAACCGTAAGAGTTGCTAACTGCCACGAACGTCGCCTTCAGGGTGTTCTCCAACGTCTTTGTGCTACCGGCAGATGAAGTGTATGCATCCTGGACACCAGCAAGCTGCAGCAATCTCTTGACGGCCGGGGAAGCGACGAGACCGGTTCCTCGAGGAGCAGGGATCAATCGGACGGTGACGGAACCGCACTTGCCGGATTCCTTGGTGGGCAGGGAGTGAGGCTCACCGAGGTTGGTGCCCCAGTAGCCTCGTCGAATGGGGAGCACGGAGAGTTTGGCAATGATGATTGCGGCACGGATGGCGGTCGCGACTTCTTTCGAGGTTTTGATGCCGAGGCCGACGTGGCCCTCGCTGTCGCCGATGACCACGATGGCCTTGAACCGAGTGCGTTGACCGGCACGGGTCTGCTTCTGCACCGGTTTGATCTGTAGATTCGAGGATGAACTTGTCAGAAAAAAAATTACTCTGGTGGAAGGACCTTTTCTGTATCGCTCTCCACAATATCCATTTAGAAAGTGGTCTCTCACCTTCATGACTTCGTCCTTGAGTTTGGGCAAGAACCAATCGACAATCTGGTACTCCTTGATGGGCAAAGAGTGCAGGTAGATCTGTTCCATGCTCTGGATTTTGCCTGCCTTGACAAGACGGCCCAACTTGGTGACCGGCTGCCATTCCTTCTCGTCGGATTTCGCACCACCACGGCGCGGACCCCGTCGTCCTCGACCACGATCACCTCTTCCACGGTCTCCACGACCTCGATCACCGAATCCGCCACGTCCTCGAGGAGCGTCAGCCATGTTGTGTGATTGCGCAGATAGTAGATTGTCAGAGCAAGGGTGCGCAAGGTGGAGGTTGAGGTTCCGAGTGAGTCTTTGGTCAAGCGACCAATTCGCACCGCAGTCGAAGATTCGCAAATTCACGCCAAGAAACTTGTTTTCGAGTTGTGGGCTATACCATATTGGGAAGGGCGGATTGACTTTCAGAGATGGCAGCCTCTCCGCCGCCAACGCCAGGGCAAGCCAATGACGCAGTTGGAACCCTGGAAGACAGGTCTCCCTGATTGCCTCCCAAAATTGGTATTTCAATCTGCTCCCTCGTAGCTTGAGTCGACTGAAAGAGCTAAACGTGGCCTTGTTATGTTATCTCATTGATCTATCTGCGGAATCTTGTTTATCCAAAGCGGAGGACGGAAAGATGCCGATACGCTGGTTCGTTTGGCCACTGGCTCCTTTCTGATATGCGGCAACTGACTATAGACTAGGTATCAAGCAAAGCTGGCCAAGCGACCGCTTTTGACTCAGTCCGTTGCAACCGCGGTAATGTAATCTCAATCACTACTCCAACATCCAGCTGACCCACAAAGGTCCTTTTTGCCGCGGGCGACACGCTTGCCCAGCAGGCGGTGGAGCGGAAAGGTATTAGAAACCATGACGGCGCTCGGACAGCTCGAATGTGCTTATACGGCGGCTGTAAGTTCGCCGATGCCAGTGTACCATGGAGGATGTTGACATGCACAGGTGTGTTCGGTCCAGCAGCAACCAAGTGGTACGCCTTCCTGCAGAGGCACATCAACTTCCAATCGCATAATGTGACAATATTGGCGAGAGTTTTCGCGGATCAAACGATTTTTGCGACATGCCATCTCGCCTTCTTCCTCTCGAGCATGTCGGTACTGGAAGGAAGTGATCCCAAAGAGAAACTCGCAAAGAGTTACCTGCCAGGGCTCAAGGCGAACTGGACAGTATGGCCGCTGGTTCAGGCGGTGAATTTCAAGTTAGTCCCTCTTGAGCACAGGGTTCTGGTTGTGAATGTTGTGAGTCTGGGCTGGAACTGCTTTTTGAGCTATCTGAATAGCTCGAAATAAGTGCGGCACAGCGAGGTATAAATGCTGGCCTTCTGACCCGGCACTTCCTGGTATACGTCAGGGTAGCATAACAGCATGGCTAGAGACGCAGGATCTGCGAACCAAGTTAAGCAAGTACGTACGACAAGCAAAATACACAGGATACCGAGAAACGGACTTCGGATGAAGCAAGGTCGAAGTCAAGCAGTCGAGAGCCGAGAAGAACCGGGCGTGTATTTGTGCCACGGTTGTAAGCTAAACCAGATTTGGTACCAGCGGATTTTCATATTTCGCGTGGCTCTGGGTGCGGCAGCGGAGGAGCAACCTCAAACTCGACACACCACAGGCTCAAATCTCGACGTTTGTCCCTGCTTTCTTGGTACATCACTTGAGCGTTGATTGCTCTTGCCCGACCACGATCTGCGTCTGAACGCACACTGCGGCCAAGCCTGTCTCGCTGTCAAGAGCGCTCGCAATTGACCGAGTTTGCCACAACCCACTCGAAACAAATCCTCGACCTTTTCTCCCTTCGTCGCGTGCACCTCTCAGCTTTTTGTGCCTCTGCAGCGAATATTTCATTCCTCCCCACAGGAACTGCAGCCTTATCCAGAAATCTTTGACTTTTTCCACGATGGCCGAAGTCGAAATGCCTCAGCCGGTTCCCGGCCCTGTTTCAAACGAAAATGCAGCACCCTCAACATCGGATGATATCAAGACCATCTTCCACGACGTCAACAACTTCAACGTCAAGCATCCTCTACTCAACACATGGAGTCTCTGGGTGAGTCGCAATGACGCAGTTGCTTCCCTTCTGCACTAACTAGGTGTGAATAGTTCACCAAACCGCCCTCCTCGAAAGGCGACAATTGGAACGACTTGTTGAAGGAGGTGATCACATTTGACACAGTCGAAGAATTTTGGGGGGTATACGTATGTTTGCAAGGAGCACTTTTGGGTCAATCTCGTCTAACATGGCACCAGAATAACATCACAGCCACCTCTGACCTTGCTGTCAAATCTGACTATCACCTCTTCAAGCGGGGGGTGCGACCCGAGTGGGAAGACCCTCAGAACAAGCACGGTGGCAAGTGGTCCTACACATTCAAGGATAAGAAGGCCGTCAACATTGACGAGCTATGGCTGCACACCCAACTGGCTGCCATCGGAGAAACTTTGGAAGACGACGGGGACAACGAGATCATGGGTGTTGTGGTCAACGTGCGAAAAAGCTTTTACCGAATTGGATTATGGACTCGCACGACCGGAAAAGCCGGTGGAAAAGACACGCTGATGAAGATCGGTGCCCGGTTTAAGCAAGTCCTTCAAATCCCCGACAACGATCAGCTCGAGTTCAGTGGCCACACCGACGCTGCACATGCAGGCAGCACTCGCGCAAAGACAAAGTATACTGTTTAAGGGCAAGGCGAATCAGGTGTCTGCGTCGAAGGCCAAGGCCATTCTGACCACGACATGTTGCTTAAGGCCGGTTTGCCTGGACACAGGGGTTTCAATGGCGTTCGATGAAACGGGGTAAAATGGGTCTCAAGTACGAGGGAGGGAATACCTTTGCATGTTTATCGACAGTATGAGCATAGCGACAGGGTGGACGTTGGAGTGCACCCAAGATACGAGCTTGATATTTGATACATTGACAACAGTTCTACTGGTGGAGAGCCGTGGGTGGCTGGGCCAATCTAGTGGTAGGCTCTCGGTGAGCTGGAGAATAAAAAGCAATGAATATTTCAGCCCTACGCTCTCAGTCTCCCTATGGTCGTGTGCTTCGTACTGTTGCCTGGTTATACCTTGCAGCCAGCCGGTGGCAAGAAGGCTGACAAAACAAGAGGAAGTTTGAGGCAAAATGTCACATCTATACTTAAGGGCGTGAATCTCCCAAAAAAAATCGTCAGCGGTATCTTCTCTCTTTTCCCTTCCTCTTCTCTTCATTCTTACCTCCTCCGCTAGAAGTCCAGTCGTCGTACAGAGATGGCACGATCTTCATTCTTCTGCCACTCAGTACGAGCCAGTGCAACTATCCCTGTGTGAGTGGGATGGCGTGATACATAAGCCCAACATTGGTCTTCCCATACGACAGAGGAGTCGACTAATATCTTGATGTTAATGCCAAACACGGTGCCAAAGATCCTCCTGGGCTGCTTACATAAAATCACCAGTTCGCCAAAGTGCCACCTATTCACCACATCGGCTCGCTGGGTAGCTGCTTGTGGTTACTGCAACGATGTTTCGTCGGCCAGCTTCGGCTCGTTAGGCAGCACGCGGTCGGGTGCGGCTGAGAATCGAGCATCTGGTTGGACAATATCGCAACCGGTGACAGGGGTTGGCATTTCGGTAATGCTTCTTCGCCTTGGAACAACTGAACTGACACATTCAGCCGTCGCACTGCTGACCTGCTCCCAAAAACGCTCTCAGCCGCCAGCATGGTACTTTTCACGTTTGCCTCATGCTTCGTTTTCAATGGGTCAGACGAACCATCCCGCTCTATCAAACATGCTGCACCCGGCGAGTTAGCTGCTGCCGCAATGCCGCCTCCCACCCCCATAACACCACGACAATACCCCTCACTTTCATGGATGCCCAGATAGCCAGATAAACCATCTGGCATGTCGAGGCGAGCCAGAGCAGATGATGCATTCAAGATGAACGATCTGCGTCGCTCACAGTTTGCGACTCCTCGAATTCAATTCCTTCATAAACCCTGCCTGTAGTCGCCTCGTCGCCTGCTGCTCTTTTCTCCTTTCGCATTCCTTCCATCTTTCCCCACTTGCCCAAATCACCCGTTCCAGAGCCTCGCCTCGATTGCTGTGCCTTGGGCATCCTTCTGCCTTTGCTGCCGGCAACTGGTCGAGATCCATCTACACAGAAAATCGATCGGCCCCTTGAGATTAACTGATTGCCGCTTAGCCTGACCGCAGATGGGGCGCAACCGACGGCAGACTGGCCACCTCCAAGGCACCTTTCCCCCTCCCAGGATTGTACCAAGTCAAGGTCCCGGTCAACACAGTCTCTACTCGTCTCAGCCCCAATACAATGAGCCGCCGCAACCGCCGCCGTTTTCTACGTCCGCACAGCAGCCCAATTGGCAGCCTGGTCAACACCCTCGTGGCTATGGACTCATGTTGGCCGCGGAACCAAACACTCCGTCGACCACAGATGCTGCCAGCCCTGTGAGTACCCGGTCCACCCTTTCTCGCAGTAGTGTGGCGACCTCGACGAACACAAGCTATACTGCGGCTTTGGAATATGCTCGGCAATTCTCTCCAGATGTTGATACTCCCCCCAGCCCAAGCGCCAGTGTTTCGACAGTCCATCCCCCTCATCCAGCAGATCATGCAAGTGACCAGTCCTTGCACCAGACAATCTTCGGGTCTGACTACGTGCTGGGTGCTAATCATGCGATGACAGGTCAGATTATTGCTTCATGCCATTCGATCGATTGACGTACTGACATGTTCACCCAGAGGGTCTCCTGGGCATTGATACACCTGCTCCCTTGGCCGAGACATCGCGTTATCTCTTCCCGAGCCCCCAGTTCCTTTCACCGCAAAATCCATCACCAGGTCCCTACCCAAGATTTCCCGGCAGAACCGATCCATGGAATACATTCCCCTTTCGTCATGAAAATCAATATGTCAATATGGGTACAAGTTCACCGGTGCCCACCGTCCAGGCTGACTGTCGCTCACTCTCATCACGCGAAAGAGGAGGAGGCGGCGGCGGCGGGAGGACGGGGCCTCTTAACCCAACCCAGAGACAACAAGCTAGTGATGTTCGAAGACGCGGTGCTTGCCTTCGGTGTGCGGTAATGAGGGAAAAGGTGTGTCGAAACATCCACATCAGCAGCCGTGAAAAGTGAAAAGCTAACAGCTGAAAGTGCGACTTGGGCAACCCTTGTAATAATTGCTTGACCAAAGAACGGCGAAAATGCCCCAAGTACTGCATTCCCAATCGAAGCGATTGGGATGGTTGTAAGACTAGCTTGTTCCCTGGTAAGACCAGCCAATCGCATCAGGAGAGCAGCCGCTGACCAGACAGATGAATTGACATGTCGCCTACGGAAAGATAATCTGCTCCAGTATCTTGCGAATTCTACCTTTGATGTCTCCCATCGCCCTTTCCAAATTCCGCTGGACATGTACATCGGAATCCCTTTATACGTTTTGGTTCGAGAGTTCCACCCTCTTCAGCCAGCTTTGGAGATCCGGCACGCATTCCAGACGTCTCACGGCCCTAATGGAGAAAAGTCGTACGATAGGCAACAGACCTGGAATCCGCCCATCATCATGTGCATCCGGAATGGCGAATTGGAGAAGACAGTCAACCAAGTTCGAAAAAACATCACCGGGATATTTGACAAACTGCTGGCCGATCCGAAAGAGTACCGCAAATGGACGACAGAGTACTTTGAGGAGCAGGAGGAAGATTTCCAGACCCAAATTCTACGCGTCCTGGGAAGGTACTACAGGAGAGATATTGAAGAGCATTCGATTCTCAAGGCGGCTCTGAGGCTCCTATGGTTCGAGTATCTGCTCCTGAACAAATTTACCGTTCCCGCCGAAGCTGTACCGATCCTTGAAGCCAATCTCGGATCAAAACGACCTGTTGGTGCTCCCCAGCATCTACACGTCATACCTGACACTATCAACCGCTTTCTCAAAGCCATCATCCTTCCCCTGGCCGAGAAAGCCGCAGAGAAGCTTATAAAAAATCTTCACGACATGATGTTTAAGATGGCCGTCACCCAGAAAATGCCACAAGGTCGCAGGGATCTAGTTCTTTGCCTGCTTTTTATCCTCGTGATATTCCTCGGCCGCACCCAAGTCGCCCTTCTCTTCCTCTCCCATACCCCTGCGCCCGAGATCGGTATGGAGTACTCCCAGGAACAAGCGGAATCCAAGATCGAAGAGATGGAACAAATAGTGAGCGATTACCTCCTGTCCTTCCACAGATACACCTTGAGCAGAATGTCCTCCCGGTCGCCGGTGACGGCTAGCGAGTATGATTCTCCAAGTGAACGTCACGCAAGAGAATTCGATTTGGTTGACCGACTGCGCAAAGAGATCGGGGGCTACGGTAAGCTTTATGCTTGCTCCTCAAGTCCGAGACTTTGGTCTGACCAAGTCGCAGCGTGCGAGAGACCCGAGAGGCTGGAGCCGGGTGATTATCAGATGGATACGTTCCGATACATGAATGTTCGGCGGTTATGCTGGAAGGTTATTGGCAATTTGAATTGGGGCTCCAACTACTAGTTACTGCATAGATAATGAAAACAACATCAAGATCCAGGACGCAGAGAGTCTACAAATTTGGCGGGCACATGCCGCCATGCAGGCGATGCTGTCGGATGTTGAGAAGCCAGGAAGAAGTCATGGTGCTCGTGGAGGAGTGTGGGGTGCAAGCTATTAAGGCCAGCAATTGTTCGTGGGAGAGCTCGTTTGTGGTTTTGGGCTTGTGTGCAGGGGGAAGGGTGATTCCACGTAAAAGCAGCCAGAGCAAGCCGATAGTAGTCACAAGTAGTTTTTGTATTGAGGCCTACCAAGGCAGGAATCTAGCGGCAAGTGATTGCCTGACAATTGGGAAATCTATCCAGTGAACCAGGTATCTATGCAGTGAGCCAATCGTGCCACCATCCCGCATAATGAGCGTGCAGCCTTGCCAGCTAAAATGCAGGTTGTGGCACAATGGTGTTACAGGCGATGACGTCAGAGTACGTCGGTGGTCTATCGAAAATCAATCACATTCCCAACACCAATTGTTCCTCCCTACCCATCCCTCCAACCTGTAGATCACTCCTACATGTTCCCAGAAGTCGGCCCATGCTATGATCATACGCCAAACACCAGCCCATACCTGCCGTCCATGTTGATGTCAAGCCTCGAGCGCTAGAAAGGAATGTTTTCGCTGTGGCGAGGTCTCCAGTCGTATCCGTTGGGATCTGGAGGACGACACTAGCATTTCGGTCAGCCATTGCGTCGTCTTCTCATCCAAGTGACTGGGCTAAGTACCTCTCTCTCTCTTTTTTGTTTCTTTTCATCATCCCCAAGCCGTCATGATATTAGTGTTTGTGCCACCCTACAGCTTGTCAGTCTTTCCATCTCAATACTGGGGATGCTCGGGGCACCTACCCCCTTTTGGCTTTGTCGTAGTTGGGGGGCGCTCAATGACTGGTGGAGGTTGACTGGTCAAACCCGTGGCGTGCTTTGCGTGAACTGTTGTCGAAGTCTTAGGTGTCATCGCTGTGGTGAAAGACATTGAGGTTGATGGGAAGATGACGAGATGATGTGGGTTGAGGTGGTGATATGGTAGTGAACTATCTTTAACTTGCTCTGTGTGTGTGTGTGATGTCCAAGGAAGAAGCCAGCAGATGTTCGGGGCGATGTCGGGCTTTTATGCTGACATCAGAACAGTAGCAGAGGCTACAGAGACCCGTCAATGCTGTGGAGAGCACAAGCATCCGAGCAGAGTGAAGAGGGAGAGACAAGGTCACAAAGGTTGGCTGTGCAGGGACTAGAGCCAGGATGCCACAATCCGCAGAAAGGAGCAATGGATCGTCTCATGCGTCACTGGCCAAGGAGGGAAATCAGACTGCACACCGGTATGAAGGGGGATACTGGCTCCCGAGGGGGCAAAGGTCGGTGGCAACTCCCACCAACGAGAGCACGGGACTGGGGTTGAAACATATATGGGTCGGCTGAGGCAACAGGCAATCGAAGGCAATGTTGAAAGTTTCGAGTTAACAAGATTGCAAATTCAAAAGAAAATGATCCGAATGAGAAATATCGCGGGCACAAGAGAAGATTCAAGTAAGAAAGTGACGGGGCAGCGCATATGCCAGATAGCCCGGGCAGACTCGAAGCGGGCAGGGAAAGCAATTAGGTTCGAGATCGCCCACATAGATTTGAGTGGATTGAAAATGGGCAAGGTATGAATGGCGAAGATAGCCAGGCCACAACTGAGGCTAAGCCTGACAGGAACCAACAGCGAAAGCGGGAGATGCCTCTCGCGGAAAGCAACAACCGTCCAAAGGGCTCTCCAGACGCTTTCGGCGGCGGCAGTCCTGTCAGTGGCTGCGCCTCGCGAGTGGATTGACACCGTCTGATGGGGACGTGCAAATGAACAGCGGTGGATTCAGACCTTGGATTTGGCAAGGCTGAAGAACGATTTTGGAGTGTCTCAAACCTCACAAACCTTACGAAAACAACCCGCTCGGAAAAGACAAATGAGTCACGGCAACTTGAGAGGACGCGTTCGACAAGAAGAATCATTGCGCTGACGAACGAGAGATATCCGCTCAGCCCCTTCCGTGAGGGATCAGAAGTGACAAAAGTCACCGTGGGAAGGCATCAAAAAAGGCAACACTGCTCAGCCTGAATCCCAAGTTACAGCCTGGCCAACCTAGCGAACTAGTCCGCAAAAAGGGCTGGAGGGGATTCGTGTGGATCCCAGTACACTAGGCCCATTATGGAAAGACGCTAGAAGCCATGGAAGAGCCTTGGAGGGTCGACGGCCTGGCTGTCCAGCCGCCCAAGGGTCATGGCGCACAATCAATGGAGCCAACGCGAAGGGGGGAGGGCAGAGTCAGGACGACGACCAGCGCCGTCGTCCCTTGGCCTGAGGTTTCAGAGAGACACGGGCTGCGGGTTGCAGGCTGTTGAAAGTCGATGGGTCTGGTCCGAGCGCCTGGTGCTGGGGACTCGGAAGGGGGGGGGCCGTTGGCGAAATTACTACGTCCAGGGTTGGAATCATTCTAGAAGACGCCTCGAACGCAGCAAAAGCTCTAAGTGATGACGCTGGCAGCGGCAGCAGCGGGGAAGGGAGATAATGATGCCCCTAAGCACGAGGCTAGCTACAGACAGCTAAACGGGTCCCAGAAGTGGGTGTGATAGGGGACAGTAGGGCAGTGATGACGGTCGAATGAGACACTGGTTCCTGAAATAACGCGGGAGAAAGCTGATGGAAAGGGTGGAACAGAGATCTGGATGGTTGGGTGTTGTACAGAGGTCGCGGTGCTTGTTGGCTGTTGGACAAGGGTACGAGCTGCAACTAATTTTAGAGGGAGACGAGGGATGGAGGGCGGTTGGTGTAGTGATGCACGGGACGATATGCACGGAACTTGAGCATCGTATCAGAGATGGTTGTTGGCGGAAGAGGGGCGTCGGTGCACAAGAGTCAGCTGGGACTACCGTTGCAAATACTACGTCCCCCGTCGAAGGGACGGGAAGACGAAGGAGATACGGTGGGTTGTTGGCTTCAGGCCAGCTACATACTGGGTAGGCAGAGCGCAGGAGAGTCATGTGTTCCCTTATCACCACCACCATGACGATGAGGGTAAAAGGGCAAGCAAGGATTAGCTAGATACATAACCCCAATGCCACGTGGTCGAGAGGCCATTGAAGGGGCGAGGAAGGACGGGCAAAGGATGAAAGATCGGGAGCCATGTCACTGTGGGGTTACATGCCAGAGAGAGTAATCTTCTGGAACACTGCCTAGTTGGTGCCTAGTTGGAATGCAATGCGTCGGGGAGGAGTGCGAGGTACTCGAAGACAAGGGGCTGTGGTGTTTTGGTGGATGCGATGAGTGGGGCGGGAGCGATGGAGAGACACTTGCGGGCCGGACTGAGGGACTTGAAAGGCTGGTGGGCGGTCAGCCAACGCCGAAAGCCCTGGGATAATGGACAAACTTGCGCAGGCAGACATGGGGTAGGCTTAGAACCTACAAGTATATCACCTGCCTTTGCGGCGAAGGAGCCTAGGTGGTAAGGCACGAGTCCTCCGCAGAGGGTACCGAGGACCCGATTTCACAGCGAATAATGAGGCGTGTTAGTCTGCGCGTAGAGCAGAGGGCGAATTAGCGCGAACAAGGGCGAACAGAGAGGGGCTCACCAGGTACAGTGCGTAGGGAGGGCAAAGAGGGGCAGTGAGTGCCCGCCCTCGTTCCTCCCTCTTCCTTTTCCTCCTTCCTCGCACTGTTGTGTTTCTCTCCGTCTGACCACTGCCGCCGCCTTGTTGAACCCAACCTCGAATCCTCCGGACCCATCCTATCCTCGATTCGCTTTTTGCTTTTTACTTTTTACTCTTCACTCTTGTGATCCTTCTCGCTTATGCCTCACTTTATCTCCTTGTCCTCGTATATGCGTGTACGATTACCAGTACCGAGAAGCGAGGATTCTTTCCTTTCTCTTTCCCGCGATTAGCCAGGCGCACGGAACAGATGCGAGACTTTTTGTCTACCTGACCTTACCCTACACTAACCTCCCTCTTTTACCCTAACCCACCTGCGCCCTTACGCACATACAAGCACACACACACATATGCATACCCATGTGCATGACCTGATCTGTGGAAACGCCAGGCGGGCTGGGCTGGTGGCGCGGTGTCCGAGTGAGGCGGGGCCTGCGCCATCAAGGATTAAACACACACATGAAAGACGACAGACGGACAACAAATAACTGATTCAGGTGAGGGCTCTGGCTGGGCAGCAAGCAGGCAGATAGGCAGACAGACAGACAGGCATGGAAAGAAATGCTTCCAGGCTGGAGAGACTGCGCCACAACTGCAACCACTTCGCCCTTCCACTGCTGGAATGTAACGAGTGGATGCGTGAGTGGATTGAGGGAGGGATGGATAAACGACTGACCAAGAAAGATCTGTAGGAGCAGTGTCGGAGTGGACGTGCAATAAGGGACCTGTGTTGATATGGTTGTGTATGTATTGTGTAGGTGTTGTAGACGTCCCGGTGGGCAGATGGGCGTTTTGCATCGCTCTTAGCATTTGAACAAGCGTGCACAGTCCATACATTAACTACCTACCAGGGTAGTTAGTACTAGCGATAGGATAGTGGTCATGGTGAATGAGAGAGAGAGCGGCAAGCATGCGGGCAGGACTTGCTCTTGGTCATGGACACTTCGCTCAGTCACTTATTCAAAAAAGGGGCCCAAAAACCCTCTTGACAGATCATCACATGTACATACCGTGTACATACAACCGAGTAAAGTATACGGTATAAGTTTGTTTGTTCCTCCTGCTCACTCGCGTTGAGTTACACAAGTCAAGCCGTCGTCCTATGTCGAATCGGAGCCTAGGTTTTGCCTTGCCTTGCCTCGTCCTCCTTGTGAGAACCCAGGCATACTGGAAAACAATCAGAATCGTTCATATCAATATCGCGATTGCTCCTCAGTGGCAGTCTCGCGTTCCAGCCTCTCTGTCGTCTCCCTCTCAGCACCCCCCCCGCCAAGCGTGACCTTCCTCCT